CCATTTGTTAATAAAAAGAATTGAAATATGTTATTGAAAAGTATAGAGGAGCAGGTTGGGAAAAGGGAAGAAATATATTAGAGACAATTGGTACCATGATTTAGACAGGCAGTTGGATTAATCCAACTGTGTCATTGTTTTTCAAAAGGAGAATTGACGATTAGTTTCAATAGGTTCATGAGCATTATTAAGGTTTCTAGATCAGTAGAGGAAGTCCTCAATTTACAACCATTTCCTTAGTGACTGTTTATAGCTACAGCGCTACTGAAAAAAGTGACTTATGACCGTTTTTCATACAACCACTGCGGTATCCCCATGATCAAGTGATCAAAATTCAGATGCTTGGCAACGAGTCCCTATTTATAATGGTTGCCATGTCCCAGGGTCATGTGATCACCTTTTGTGAACGTCTGACAGGTAAAGTAAATGGGGAAAACCAGGTTCACTTAACAACCCTGTTACTAACTTAACAACTGCAGTAATTCACTTAATAACTGTGGTAAGAAAGATTATAAAATGGGGCAAAACTGTCTTGCTTAGCAACAGAAATTTTGGGCTCGATTGTGGTCATAAATCATAGACTACCTGTACTCACTCAGACCAGGCCTGCACAATATACAGCTGATGGGTTGCCTGTGGTCTTCAAAGCAACCTGCCAGCATTTTTTTAAAAAAAAGTCAATAAATTCACTGCCAATTCTCGATTAGCCACCAAATAATTAACTGCTGCTCCAAATATTTCTTTGCAGCTTGCAATTATTTTTAATTTATTCATTTGGCCCTTTCATCTCATCAGTTGTGCAAAGTTCCACTAGACCATCGGTTGTTACTGATTTTAAACATCCTGGGGAGGTGGTTGGTATTTGACTCTTTAAATATTTGCCACATGTTGAACTGTCACTTAAAAACCTTTCATAGATGAAGACAGAACCAAAGAGAATCCTTCTTAATTTTACTCAGCAAATATATATATAAGAAAGTATATAACTAATTGCAAAAATATGCTTCCAAGATTTTTGACAGACTTGAGATAAATGTTGACATTTATGAATACAGATAGTCTTCTCTTGCTTATTAGAGAGGTTAGCAAGCAGAAAACAATACTTAGATCAAACAGCTACTCTAATTGCTTAAAAAAAGGAAGTTGCTCAGGAAGGTTTGGAAACTGAACCATCCTAGATTAATTCCTAAATTGCCAATTGAATCAGAGCTGGCAAGCTCAGTGTAATTCCTGCATGTGTCAAACCATGCTTATATTCAAACAGCTCTTCTTAATTTTGTACTGAGCTATTTATGGATCAAATACATTACACAAGTATACCATAAATGCAGAAATATGCAAAACTGAAGCTGTGTAATCAGATCTGTCCTGGCAACTAAGTGATGTACCAACATTTCAAGGAATTCTGCATCAGCTATTTAATATCTTGGAGACAGTTGTTGTCTAGTCTGTGTGGAAACGAAGCAGTGAAGTAGCTAGCAGATTGTCTGGGGACAATCTAGACCTTTCTGATCCCCATCTACCACCTGGCAAATAGATGTCTTTGTTAAAGGTAAATGTGTAAAGTGTGAGATACAACGTAACAGAAAAAACAGAAAAACAATATTTTGTGAAGCATTGGGAAATTTAACATATTACATGTTTCTCATGTAAGTTGGAAACAGAAGACAAGAACACCATCCTTGAATTGGCTCTACCTGTTTTTAGAACATATCAGAGAATTTATTGTTAACATTTTGTTAGGATTAGGGTTAATATATATGTGAAATTTGGTACCACCATGTTTCCCTGAAAATAAGCCTCACCCCGAAAAAAAGACCTACCCTGATTTTTGGGGGTGGACCTAATATAAGCCCTACCCCCCAAAATAAACCCTAGTTATGACCTCACCCACTCCGTCCCACCTCGCTGGCACAATGGGGCTGGAGGCTGTGGGGCACATCACTCGCTGCTGGCACAAGGCAAGACAGGTGGGGGAGGGGATGGAGCTGCCCCACACGCCTCACACCCACTTCCTGCAGCCCCCCCAGCCAGGCCATTTCTTGCTCAATGACCTTCCCTTTCATTCTCCTCCTCAGCTGGACTGCCATGCTATGGAGAATGGGCCAGATAGGCCCAGTCCCCCTCTGCCATTTTGGATCCAGAGGGGAGTCATGGCAAAAGGCTCTGCTGCTGCTGTGCACCGCTGGAGGGGCTTTCTTCATGCTTTGCCCCACAGATCACCTGCCTGGCAGCAGCCACCTTCTTCTCTTCCACCAATTCTCCTGTGGCTTGCAATGTGAAAGGGCAGTGCAAGGCTTCCCTGCCGCCTCCCTCCACCAGCCCTCCGTTAACACCACTGGAGAGAACGGAGACTGGGGAGTGGAACAGCTCTGCATAGTGATGCAGAGCAGAGAAGAACACTTGCTTGCCACCCTGCATTGCTCTGCATCTCTCTTCTCTGTTCTGGAAATGGCAGCCCCGTTTCCTGCTGCTTCTCCTCTCGGTGCTGCTATAGAGTTTGGTGCACCACTGCCCAGCTCCTCTCTCTTCCTGAAAGCAAAAAATTTCTTCACTGATCTGCTTTCCAGCTCTGGCACATTTCTCCCCTGCTGCAGGGAAATGGAGTTTGTGGAACTAAAAAAAGTTCAGTCAGACCTTCCAACTTCTCACAAAAAAAAAAAAAAAAAAGATCTTGTGATACGTTGGAAGGTCTGACTGAACTTTTTTTAGTCCCACAAACTAATCAATGGTGTAATAAAGATTATCATTCCTTGAGGAATAATAGCCATCCAAAGGGAGCTTTTTCACTGGACTGTATAATAATTGTAAATAAAAACAATCAATTTTAAGAACAAAGGAATAATATACTTACCACTAGCTTTTGGTGACAATAACTCTCTGGAACTCAGCCGAAAGAGGGGAAGAGTGAAGCCGAAGACATTTTTATGAAGGTTACTGCCAGCTTTTTTCACAGGGCACTTGGTGGTGATGGCTATGTGGAAATCTGGTGATTGTTTTAACTATGACTAACTTAAACTCTATTACATTGATCTGACTTAGTTTAAGTTTGATCAACTATGAATCCAAATATAGTCTTTCATATTCTCTCTGATCTAGTGATGTTCAGTATAAGGTTTTAGTATTTATGTGAATGCTTTTTGTTGTTTTAATTAAGAAAAATGAATTCAAAACTCACACTGAACTTGCTAAAAATTATCGTTATGAGTATTTGGACGAGGAAAAAAAATCTAAAGAGCTAAAAGTATGGAAATTAAATGAAGATGTTTTCAGTATTTATGGGTAATATGTCATTCCGGAGTTCAGGTCCAAGTCCAAAGGCGTGGAAAGAGGAGGCATAATAAAAATAAATATATTTTTCTTTCCTATTTCAAATGTTGGTATATCTGAAAATGGGAATACACAATCAACAAATATATGACATAATGTTCTCTTTCTATGCAAGTGACTTTAGTTACCTAATTTCTTTCAGTGCTTCATAGAAAATCTATTTTTTCCCTTTCTCTTCAGTGTAATCATAGTTTAATGTTCTGTAGATCTCATACCCAAATTTGATCTGAAAAAGAGGGAACTTAGAATTTCTTTAAAATACTCTCAGAAGGAAAATGTACCATGCTTGGATATTTTTGCATGGTATAAGCTCGTTATTCAAGAGCAATTGAAACAGGAGAAAAGTATTCTCTGTAAATAATTTATTAAATCTTAAGGTTAAAAAATCTTGATATTCACTATTTAGACAAAAGTGACAATATTTACATACCTTCTTTTTTACAATAGCATTTATTTAATTTATTTTTCTGTTGGAGTTTGAAACTACAATACAGTGTTTTTGTAATATAAGAGGGTTTTTTTATACAGAGTAGAAGTTGTATAGTTCTAAAGTAATTTATATGGAAAATAAAATTAGTTTATATATTCTCTCTCTCTCAGAATACATCTTGTGTATATGATGTATATATGTAGGTCTTTGGTTATTCGGGTTTTCTCCCGCATAAAATTGGAAGACACTTCCAATTTTATGCGGGAGAAAACCCGAATAACCAAAGACCTACATACAAACACCCGTGAAAATCTCAGAAAACAAAGATGTATATATGATGTATATTTGTGCATGTGTGTATAATACACACACACACACACACACACACACACATTGATGGAACTGAGTTTTAAAGTTCTTCCATCCTGACCAAAAAGCTACTATAGAAGCCAATTTGCATATTTTTCTAGACTATAGTTTATTTTAAGTATGATATGCTATAATGATTTGATTCAGACAACAGAAAATAATATCATAGGCTTCACAAATCAGGTTGCCATGCTTTAATCAGAGAAGCCACAGTGTATGAATTCAACCCAAGATTGAATTGGCTAAGTTGAAGAGAGAAAAAAAATGAACCAGGATAGAAACCTCTTCTGAGAATGAAACTCTATTCCAGTCAGCAAGTTTCCCCAACCCACTACGTAACATTTAAAAGAAGAAGTTGGTAATACAAGGTCAGTGCTAAAGACGAAGATGAGGAAATCTGCTTTCAATAGTTGCATTGCATACACCTACAATTTGACCAATCCAGCATAGTTCAAAAGTTAAATATTTCATGAGGTACAACACAGTTAATAAGTAAATTGAAAATACAACTTTACACATTTAAGGCTAGAAAATATAGCTTCATTGTTCAAACACCATTGAAATAAGATATAATTCAATACAATTATGTGTTAGATTTTCATAAAGCTAATACACCTTATTAGTAATAGGATTGTGTATTTGGATTTGAATATACATTTTACAGCTTATGTACAAAAATGGATGAATGAACTTTGACTTCATATAAAGGGACAAGAAATCCCAATCTTAAAACTTCAAATTAGCTTACCATAACTTCAATTAATTCTGGCATTTTATATTTATGAAGATCCCAGCATCAACTTCTAGAAATTATCTTTCCACAGGACATTTAATGCTTTTGAAATAATAGGCATATATTTTGATTTTTTAAAAAAAAAACTATTAAAATTCTACACATAAACAACACAATAAACATACAACCTGTAAACCAGTAAATATAAAACTAAACTTCTAACTTAAAAAACAGCTCATTTATGCCCTTCACTTTCTTCATGGATCCATTAACCACTTCTTATTCTTTTATACCATAGTAATTATTATTATTTGTTATCTCCCCTTATTTAATCTATAAAATCCTTTATCATCAAGCTATTTTTCTTTATTTTTAATAACATAATCAATAAACAGACTCTAACTTTTAGACACTATGCTTTTTACTCAATTCTTCTTCCATAAACCCTAATTAAGTATATATTGGATCTTCCCTAAAATCCTAAATTAAACTGGAGTAGGATGTGGTTAGAGAGGTCAAGCATCCTTTATATACTGAGGCACTATGTTCCAAACATCAGGTGGTCGAGCAAACAGATGAGCATTTATCTGAAGCATTTCTTCAGCTTTTCTGCAACCTAACAGAGACAACCACTTATTAGTTGTTTTACAACTTTTAAAGCTGTAACCATTATCTAGATCTATATAGTTCAGATATCTGTACATATAGGGACAACAGAGCAACTGACCTATAACTGTTCAGTTGAAATTCCTCAAATAGCTTCCACATTCCTTACTATGTAGCAAATGTGATATGATTCTAGAATCTACTTGAGGCATACAGTGTGTTTGAGATAGATAGGATTTTTGGGGGGGTTGAATTTTTGATTTAAAGTGGTCTTCACTATGAGTGTTCAGTTTTCATCCACTCTTGTTCTCAGTACAGAATGACCTAATCTTGAGAAAAAGAAATTGAACCAGGTGTTGTGAGTTTTCATCTCAACTACTGATTGACTTAGATCTAAGAGGAAAAGTTCAAATCAAACATCAGGTACTGATTTTTAATTAACAAAGGGATGCAAGGGATTTCTAAGAAACTTTTTATTCTCACAAACTGACAAATATGATAGTGATATTAGTTCCTGGGGCAACAGTAAACACATTGCCTATTAGAATTAGTTTTCACACAGTCAATAAAGAATATGACACCACTTCTGTCCCTACAAAAATAAGAGCACATAAAATTGGCCTCCCCATGCAAAACAGGAGTCTATTATATAAGGCAAGAATGAGAAAAAGGTGCAAAAGTCTTTGACTGTCACCTCTATCTTCTGTGTAGCCCTCTCTAGAATTGTGGGCTATGGTTTCCCAACTATCTTCACTACTTATTAGGAATCTTGAATTCTTGTGAGTTCATTTCATTGGTTTAGCTCTGCTGGGTAAAACTGACAGGGGGGATGGGGAGGATTCTTGTAACATTGCCACAGAGCGAATGTTTCCTTTGAAAAGGAAATAATAGCTGATCACATCCTAGTTCAATATTCATTTTATACAAGGTATTGAAATGATTTAATGCAATTAACTTCATGCAAATGACTTAATATCAGTGCTGAAAATATATTACTACATATCCAAATAAGTCAGAGACAGTAAACATAAAGTAAATGATCAAATTTTATATGTATCAATGGAGTCAGATACTGACTAATCTACTTAACTGAAGTTAACATTACATCACAAACATTTGTGCCTTTTCGGTGCACATAGCTTCTCACTTTGACAATAAAATTAGCTAATAATAATACAGCTTTGTTTAAACCCATTATCCAGCTGTAATCTGCACAAGAGTCCTCTGTGCTAAGTCATACAAGGTGGTGCCTTCCAGAAAAACTAAGATTGTCTCTTCTAGAATTCCAAAGGAAGTATAGCCATGTTAGCCAGAAATTTTGGGACTTGTAATGCAAACATATTTAAAGCATACCACATTGGCAAAAGCTGCATTGTTACACAAAAAGAAGTCTCCACTATGTATTTTAATACTAAATCTAACAACTTCAGAAATAAATATATTGGAAAAATAGATAAAATTCCGAGATACCATTAATGATTTTAACATCATCTCAAAAATGTTTGCAATATACAATAAGGGTAGAACCTACATCTGAAACTAATATATTCTGACAACATATGCATATATATTAGATAACAGTATCTCTCTCTCTATATATATATATTATTAATATACTGTATACTTAGTTTAGATTCAGGGATATAACTACAATAGATATAATAGGAATGCCTAAATTCAAAAATACAGTTTTCTAATCTTACTGCTCACAAAAATTAGAATTAAACTTATTCCTGGTATTCTCCAGGAATAAGAATTTTATCTACGAATGGAATGGCATACAAATAAAGACTCTCATCAAACCAAAGGCATTTTACTTGATGACTTGATTAATTAATTGATTATATCTGCATAAATTTTGCATATGATTTGCACTCTAATACCATAGGGTGAGGTTGTCCAGGTGTGAAAAGACTGATTAACTTTGCTATTGTTGTAAGCTTGAAGCAGCCTTTTAAAGCTACTTCACAAGGGAACACAGCCCACTTATAAATAGTAAATTTAGGCCACCAAATAGCTTCACTTTCTATTGCATCTCAGATCCCCTATGGCTCACTTATTAGCTAGAAAGATTACTGCTCAAGCCTGGTACTGGGCATGCAGGAAATTCAGAAGTGATGCATAGTGCCTCAGTGGCGAATGCTTTCATTTCTATGACACAAAATCTTATCTCAAGGCAAAGTGTGATTACTTGGCCCAGCCTACTATGTGTATCTATTCAAAACTAAGTCTTCTTGAGTTCAGTAGGATTGTCTCGAAGGTATAGCAGCTATTCCCAATCAAACACTGTTTTGGCAAATTCTCATTTCAGTTTCATTGTAAAGAATACAGAATCAGGTGACACACATGTATATAATGAATGTGATTTCTCAGAATATTCTTGAATTTTGTTAACAAGTTTTCATCATGAGAACCTTACCATAGAAAAGAAGATTCAAATAAATCTTTTATCCTAAGACTTCAGTTCTTGGAAAAATCACATGAAGAGTTTATTTTCCTGCTGACTTCCCAAACTGTTCTTATTGTAATTTTTCAGTTTGCTGGTGAACACAGTTGCTGTTGCTCTTTATTGTAAAGTTGGAATACAAAGCAGAGCTCTGCTATTAAGTTGTTACATTCTTTATTTAGAAAATCTTTCTTGAAAGCCATCTATAATTAAATAATAAAAGTATATAAACTGTCAAAGGCATAAATGGACTGACATTCTCAATTGCTTTAATTTATCATTATTATTATTTTTAAATACATGTATGGGCTTACCTTGCAAAACCTGTGGTAGCACTGCATAGTAATTAGAATAATTATTTCTTTTTTATTATTAATTTCAATAGTAATATATCATATAGTTTGGTCTAGTGATTAAGGCATCAGGCTAGAAACTAGCAGTTCTAGTCCCAGTTTAGGCATAAAAGCCTGCTGGCTGATTTTGGCCCAGTCACTCTCTCAGGCCAACTTACCTAACAGGGTTGTGGTTGTGGTTGTGGTGAAAATAGGAGAATGAAGAAGTATTAGGTTTGTTTTCTGCCTTTATTTATAAAAATAATAAAGGTAGAGTAAAAATGGGCAATTGAAAATTGTGTTTTAATTTCTAAAAGCCCTTATAATATTTTATTGAAAAAGTTTTATTAACAATTAACAAAAAAAAAATTAACCCCCAAATATGCGATTTAAAAGTCCGATCTACTTTCTTATTAAAAATTAAATATGCATGCCAACCATATAATAAATCCCACCCTTCAAGAGAAAGAATATTTTTGTTTGTTAAATTAAGCCAATCACTTATCAAAGTTAATGTGGCTGCATCATAATATAATTGCAAATTAGGTGCTTTAAGCCCTCCTCTTTCTTGAGCATCTTGCAAAATCTTAAACTTCACCCTTGGTTTCTTCCCAGCCAAATAAATTTATTGATACCCTTCTGCCACTCATCCAAATTAGCATCTTTTTTTAAAATGGGTATCATTTGAAGCAAAAAAAGAAACTTTGGTAGAACATTCATTTTTACAGCTGAAATTCTCCCCAACAACGACAGTTGTAATTTTTTCCAATCATTTAAATCCTTTTGTACTTTTGTCCATAATAATTCATAATTATTCTTATATAATTTTCCATTAGAAGCAGTTATATACTGTATACTCCCAAATATTTAACCTTTTTCACTATCTGAAAACCTGTAAGTTTAACTAAAATTTCATTTTCTCTCTCAGTCATATTCTTAGATAATATTTTAGTCTTATTATTATTTACTTTAAAACCAGAAACTTTCCCATATTGAGTTATAAGTTCCAACAAATGACTAATCGATTGAGTCGGTTGTAATAAAGTTAAAACCAAATCATTCGCAAAAGCTCTCAATCTATACTCATTCTTATTTATTTTTATTCCCTTAAGTACGGTTGACTCTCGAATCTGAATTAACAAAATCTCCATTGTTAAAACAAATAACAATGGGGATAATGGACATCTTTGTCTTGTACCCTTTTCAATATTAAAAGTCTCTGTCAATCCCCCATTAATAATAATTTGAGCAGACTGTTGTTGATATATAGCTTTGAGAGCATATAGAAACTTATCTCCAAAATTCATTTTCTCTGTAAGTAAAAATAAAAATTGCCAATCTAATTGATCAAAAGCTTTCTCAGCATCCAAAAATATAAAGGCCACAGGGATCTGATTATTCTTATCCAAACTAAAAGCCCTTATAATTATAGTTGAAATTGTGAATCTAAAAGCAAAATACATATGCATAAAAATTAGCACTATCAGCTTAGTTAATATTATTAAAAAGTTTTTTTAAAAAAGCACTATAATGTCTGCCTTTATATATCATATGCAATTATGCTTTATTTCAGTCAAAAAATTTTGGATAAACTATGCTGTCCTGATCTATGTACTAGGTGAGAAATCATGCGTTATTAATTACAATATGGTTATTAAATCATGCTAAGACATTATAGTTAACAGTGCATGGAATCAACTACTGCCTAATTTCAGATAATGCTTATTGTTTTAGACAACAGGCAGCCAATACAAGCCTTCCTATCAACATCAACATTATGAAATCATAGAACAAATAATGTGAATTATATAACTTGCATGAGTTGCATTATGGCATGGACACAAATAACATGATTTGCATTATTTTCACAAATGTCACAAAATACATGACATTATTTGTTCTACTCTCCCTTACAACAGGGAGGGGATGGTTTTGTGTGCGCATATGCCGCTTGCTCAAATGGAGCTTCCCGTGCTCGCCTGCTGGGTTGTGGACTGGGGGTTGTGGACCCGTTATACACAGCAGAATAAACAAGTCAAAAATAGATATTTTAGTCATGAATTATTTAGAATATTGTAGGAAAGATTGAGGACAATAGAAGAAGGGGATGACAAAGAATGAGGTGGCTGGATGGAGTCACTGACGCAGTAGGCGTGAGCTTTAATGGACTCCAGAAGATGGTAGAGGACAGGAAGGCCTGGAGGAACCTTGTCCATGGGGTCGCGATGGGTCGGACATGACTTTGCAACTAACAAGAAGAAGAAGAAGTTGGAAAATGGGGGAATATGTGTGTCTGTAAGTAAGGCAGATCAACATCTGGTAAGTGATAAACTAATTTCTTGTATTAAACTGAATTTAATTAAAGAAACATTTAGTTGAAAATAAGACAGAGCACTCACCTATGACATATGATTCTGCTGTGCATTTTGCTGCTGCTGCTGCTGCTGAATTAGCAACTGTTGCTGTTGTCTGCGCCGAGCTGTCCTCAGTTTTTCAAACCGAGCTTCCATCTCATCTAAAACTTTGGGAGTATAACGTACCACCAACTTCACATTGTCCTTAGCAGCCTTCAGAAGTTCCACTGCTTTCTCATGATGTTCTCCTTCCACACTCTGGTTGCGGAATGTTTAAAAATAGCAAAAAACAAGAGGCTTTCAGCTTTAGAACTATGAGTAAGAAAGAATAAACTACACTGTGGGTGAATCTGGTCCCACTAGGCCTCCCCACTATGGCTTTGGAGTCTGTAGTTAGGCCTGTTCCATTGTCTAACATTTCAGACCCCAAGAAAGTAGCTACTGTAGCATGTATCTCTATTACTCTCTTGCTTTTCTAGTGGAAAAGGAAAAAGGCAAAACCAGCTGAGCTGGAACTGCATCATCAAAGTCCTCCAAGTAGAAAAAATGTGTGATATATTTATTTGCAGGATCCAATATGAGCTGTTCACCAGGGACAGCGCTTTTGTCTTCTGAGCTTTTGGACTTGTGCTGGAGCCCACCTTCAGGAAACTTCTCTCTAGCAGAATATATGCTTTGGGCTGTTCTCTGTGTGGTATTTATATGGTGCCTGTTGTATGTGGCTATTTATATGGTGCCTGTTGTATGTGGCTTTTTAAATATTGATTGGGATGTTGATGGTTGGCAATTAAGTCATTGGCTATTGTTTGCTTGTGCTGTCAAGCCCTCACCTCCCAAGTACAGATTGGATCCTGCAACATTATCCTGGGACATACTGTATATATTCACCTTCATTCATGATATATTGATTTATTTATCCTACTTATATGGCCACCTCTCTAGCCAATAAAATCTAAGTAACAAACAAAATAAAAACAAAATTTCATTAAAGCAAAAAGTCAGCTAAAACTGCATTGAAGCTCAGTAAAACCACACCATTAAACACTACTACTACTACTGCCTCTTCTACATTTGTATTGGAAGTGCCTATTAAGGTGCTTCCAGGTTGAAAGAATTAGCTAGTGACATCACTATTGCCCAGAGAATGCCCAAGGGGGCTCCTTCTATTTTCTCACCAAAGTGGTACCTATTTATCTACTTGCATTTCAATGCTTTTGAACTGCTAGTGGGCAGGAGCTAGGGCAAATTGATGGGAGCTCATTCCATCATGCAGCTCACTCCCAGGTTTCAAACTGTGCAGCTGTCGACCTCTCAGTGATCTTTTGACTCAGTGTCCTAACCAAAGAGCCACCATGGCCCCAAATAAACATGACACATTCATGCCAAAGCTCCCTCATTAACAACCTAATTCCAATGCTTGGGAAGGAGCCAGGCTTTCACAGCTTTCCAAAAGGCCGGCATATTTCAAAGAGGACACTATTCTGTAGGACAAGTGCCATAAAAAAGAAGGTGCAAAAAGACAATGCTTTGCAATGCCACCTAAAGCATGCTCACTCTGGGGTAGGCATAAACCACTAGGAAGAGATGGTCCCAGAAGTAGAAAAGTGAAATGTTACGTAAAGCATTAAAGGTGACAATCAGCACCTAACACTGTATCTTTGAGCATCATTTGGGTTTGTTTGTCTTTTAGAATGGAAATTATGTGAAGGCAGTTCAGTTGTCAATTTGCGATATGTCACTTCAAAATGTTCAAATCATTGGTATAGGAATATAGATACAAAAACTCTATGTATGTAAATAAATCAATATGTGCAGTTAAACCTAGCATCAAGCATTTATATCATCAGGGACTTGTGATGACCAAAGTCTTTAAGTTTGATGCTTCCTATCTCTCAACATCAATGAACTGAGTCTGGGTGAAACTCAGCCCATTTGAATTCCAGTACTTGTAAAATCTTTTGTGCACAGACGTTGCTTGTTCAGGATCAATGCATTGTTGTGAAAAGGGTAGGGGATGGAGGTGTTTAATATTAGTAACAGGGCCAATAGCCATGCTTCACTTTCTGTATGTAAAACATTCTTCTTATATACAATGGATAAACAAGATGACAGTCTCTTAATTTTGCAATACCTTCTGAATTGAAAATAAAAACTCATTTCAGCTAAACCATAAATAAAACTATATATTAATATACGCTAGCTTGACAATTGTATATTGGAACCTCCCTCTGGATTGCTTGTTGAATAACAGTCACTTGCAAACTAAGATGTTACAGGGAGACTAAAAAAATTCTGCAAAAGTTTCTGAATGTGGTTAATTTTAAACAACAAATTTGCGTCCATTTATTCTTTTGTATATGCGCTAGAATTACCAGATCTGGGTTGCAAATTCTGGATATTACTAGAGGACAGCAAAAATACTGCAGTAGTCATCCAGATTTTTTTTCACTCTGAGGCTGTTTAAATAAGCAGAATTAATAAAACCGAAGTGTGTTCACATACCACTCCATTAACAGAAAGCAGCTGGTCTCCCCGTTTGAGTCCTCCATGCTTCTCAGCTACTCCTCCAGGAATTATGCGAGAAATATAAATAGGAGAATTTTGTTCTTTTCCTCCCATTACGTTAAATCCAAGGCCTTCATCCGTCTTTGGCAGTTCTACCACTCGGGGGTGAGAATGCCCTTCACTAGCTGCAAATGCAGCAACTGTTGCCTAGAAAAAAAAATGCAATTTTTAATATATTATGAATACAGTTAGGAGCTTTTCTGCTTATTTGTTTCAAATATTTATTCATAAGAACAATGCTTTAAAATTTGGTTTTTTTAATTGCTTCATTTAAAACAACAACAACAACAACATAAAATGTAATGTTGCCCTGCCCAAGACATCTGTGTACAGTTATATCCCAGTGGTGTTATTCTGAGGATTGGACTGCTTAAATCTCAAGGTCTCAGTTCCATGTACAGTATACTCAGCTGGAACTCCTGCATATGTGGTTATTCACAATTATATCAATGCAATTCATATCACACAATGGCTCTATGTTCTATATGTTCAAGAATTTTTTGAAAGGGGAACTCAATGGTAAACATTAGATTATTTGTACCTGTAAATAGTTTTTACAGTGAAATGGAAATAATTCTATGTTCTCTAGCAGATGATCCCCAATTCAGTCTAGATACTAATACTTGCAACACAAATTTCCCTTTCCGAAAAGGGAATGGTATGATTAGTATGTATATATATACTCAAATTCTTATTGGCTACTTTGAACACACTTCCCTTCAATATAAGCAGATTTCAAAAGATGCTTTCTCTCTCTCTCTCTCTCTCTCTCTCTCTCTCTCTCTCTCTCTCTCTCTCTCTCTCTCTCCCTCTCTCCCTCTCTCTTTCTCTCTTTTACTTTTTATTGAACACTTGGTTAAACAGAATGATGAGATGCAAATCAAAGCAATTCTTAAAGCATACTAGAATCCTTTATATAGCAGTGGAACATAAAATGGTCTTATAAAGTTTAATAATCTTTTAAAATATGAAAGGTTTGTACATATAGCCAATATAATATTAAAGGTTTCTTAAATTTTAACAGTAGCTTAAAGGGTTAGTAGAATCTCAAGCTGAATAGGGTTTTTTAAAATTTAGCAACTTTTTATCAGAGGGCACTACATATCTGAACATTTATTTGACTTATTGAAACATAAAACAGAATATATTCAATTAACTCTTTCATTGATTTAAACAGGAAAGAACATGTATAATGAATTATATGGGACTAGGCAATAGGGTGTAGAGATAGGCTCTGATCCAATTTGAACAATTAATTGAATTTGATTTGATGATTTGAAAGACAAATTGGTTCAGTTCAAATTTCTGTATTGACCTGAATATGTTTTCAGAAACAAATTGATAAGATGATATCACATTTTATGATTTAGTTCAAATCATAAAAAGTTCATTTGATTCTGAGAATTGATAAAGTTGCTTTCAAATCATATGTGCATATAATCCCACTTAATGGTGGTTAATTTCAGCTGGCTCATTTCCATGAGTCTTAAATCTCCTAGAGTAAAAGAATAGCTAAATTTCATTAGGATCGTATTTTATTAGATGGATTTTGATAGCATGAATGTATTCTCTTAGTTACATATACAGTAATATTATCATGCAAAATTTGTCATCATGCATGCCAGACACAAATGCATAAGAAAAATACAAGGCAGACAGCCCAGAAATAACCAGGAAATACTGTAATATTGAAACATTGCTGTCCAATCCTCCTGTTTCATATGAATAAGAAATGAGAATGACAGACCTTCATGAGAGTTTTAAGTATACCATATAATGACAATTTTTAACTTCACTATATAATATAAAGTTAAACAATCTAAAAACATCTTTCTAGACTCAAGTAGATTAAAACTTAAATATCTGTAGCATTTATATTAGGTCATCTTCAATTTCCTCTAAATAATATAAATCTACCAATAAGCAAATGAAAGAATATTACTTAATATCTTAATTATCTTCAATATATTTAATATTAAATATACTATATATCTTCAGTAATTTTCCTCCATAGCTTATCTCAATTTAAAATTAATATAATTCTGTTGCTGGCTATAGTGTGAAAAGAAGAGTCACATTTATTATTCTGGCTTGCAAAGAACGGTTGTCCTCTAGTATGTATTAAGTTGCTAAGGTTGCATTTTATACTCATTCCCCCCCACACACACAGACAGACCCTATTTGAAATTCATTTAAGTTTCATCAATAGGAAACAAAGGAATTGTTTTCTTGAGAGATACCTACTTTGTTACTAATTTTTATTTCTGTACAATGCAAACTAAATTTCAGATGTATTTCATAGAGTAGTATTTCTTTTGATGCAGAGAGCTTACACTGATTTATAATGACCTTTACAGCATTTGATCCTAGCATCAGTTTTTCAGGAGTTTCTGCTGCTTTTTTGTTGACGAAATACATGCTAAGAATTTCTGAACCTGGGAGCCTTATATTTTGGGCCTTACTATATACGTTGAATCTATTAGAGAAATTAGCCATAAGAGCTAATGGTCAGTATTTAATTGCAATTAAGTAGAAGCTTTGATTGGAAGGCGACTCCAATCCACTCCATCCCCTCACCCAGTCCCAATAAGCCTCGTGGCCACATACAACATTCTCTTTTCTTAAACTACAGGAGTAGCACAAAGGTTGAACTTGTCGATATGATTGTTACCTGGGAAGTAGCACTGGTTCTAGACTCTGGGCTGCCACTGATGTCTAAATGTTCTTATAGTGTACACACGAAAACCTGAAACATACACGCGCACAGTCAATTACTGGGCCATGTGGAGAATAGACCTCCTTAAACTACAAGTATCTTACCTTGGCAGTAGCCCTGGCACGAAATTCAGGACAGCCACTAACATTTATGGTTTCATGCATGTATTGATATACCTGAAGGTATACAAAGAGAATGATGAAAAGAAAATTAATAATCTGTGTGATCTCCACAGGTCCAAACATTTAGTGCTTCTTTTATTGATCTTTAATGTCCTTGAAGTTTCTCACTGCACTGAGCATACCTACCTCCAAGGACCTTTCTGAGTCTTTGGCTATTTATTTATTTATTTACCAGATTTATACCCCACATAAGTCACCTAAGTCTGGGCAGTATTTCTCCTGTCCTAGTCTACACTTAAGATGTGGAAGAATGTCAATTTTCTAAATATTCAAACACTATTTAATTTAGGGAGGAAATACCTTCAAAAGTGAACTTTGCTGCAATGGCTGTGTGAAATGTGCCTAATTAACTCAATGAAGCATTTTGGTTCTGTCTTTCATTTCCCTTCATTTCTTATGTCATTCTGGAAACAATCATTTTAGCAACTGGGAAATGTTTGGCTTAGAGTGATTACCATGTCTCTTACTTTGCAAGGTCCATTAAATTGAAAGGCTAATTAGAAAGCAATTAGCGGTAGCTTTTATGTGGCATCACCCTTTGTATCCAGGTTCTACAATCCAAATCCATATATAAAAGGGAGAACAAAGCCCACAGATAGTATAATATAATAAAAGGTAATTATCATCATCATTTTGATAATAAATATTATTTCCGGTAGTTATTTATATTGTATAAAACCATGGTTGCAAATTTTTCATTTTTCCTCTAACTTGAGGCTACATTTTTCTGTTTTGGAGATATACAATTATTCACTCATTTTGGATGCTTATATTTTGATTTATCTTCCAAGCTCAAAAAGAGAATAACTTTTTTTTTACAAGAGATTTGCTATCTGAATTCTGCATTCAGCAATGACATTGGATAGAAAGCAAGTCAAATAAAGACATTTGAAAATACTTCAACTATATCAAAGGCATGTAAGTTGTCATTATCAGTGCTAATGCCATACAGAATACACAGAATAAACAGTCACAGAATATTTTTAATGCATGCACTATCTGGATGAAAATTTTCCCCATACAGAAAAATTACAATTTCCCATGGCCCAACACTAAAGATAAATCTGTGAATCCATAAAGGAAACAATGTTGTTTCACTGAAGGATAATGAAGCAGTGTACAAATTATAACCTTATGGAATATAATTGGCTTTTGACAGAGCCCTAAAATTCATCGGCCAGAGAAATGTGTAAAATAGTGGCTCCAAAATGTTGAATACAAACTAAAGATTCAATGAGAAGATATCATACAAATCTTTTCACAAACAAATCTCTGAATATTTCTTCCTTAAAATGTCCTTCATTCCAAACATAATTTAGAGAGAGAGAGAGAGAAGGAAAAAAAGAGGTGTTTTTGTTACTGCTAAGAGATGAGATTTACCAGTTTGTTCAAATCTAGTGTCTGCCTATTTTTTGCTATTATGTGACAAAGCAAATGATCATAATGTTTCTATTTCTATGAATTGAATTAATGCATGCTGCAAACTGTCATATTTGAAATTGTCATCCTGTAGCTATAATCAAATGTTAAATAATTAATTTATTCTTAATAATTTCTGGTTTAATTTAATATACCATAACTTAGTCATATGATACATAATGATTGCATTAACTTGAATGTTTGCTTCAAGTAAAAAAAAACATGCTGGTATTCAGATAATTAGGAAGCCATCAACTAATTTTCAAAACATTTCAAAGTCTGCTTTATTATTCCTCAGTGAAATAGAACAGTAGGTTTGTTTTAGTCCTATAACAGAAAATGAGCCAGATATTTCATACAGCAAACAGTGAGAGCTGGTACGGCTCATAGACTTTCCTGTGCTATACAGATAATCCTCGACTTACAATAGTTCATTTAGTGACTGTTTGAAGTTACAATGGCACTGAAAAAAGTGACTTCTGACCACTTTTCATATTTATGACTGTTGCAGCATCTCCTATGATCATGTGATTTACATTTGGATGCTTGACAAATAATTCGTATTTATGATGGTCGAAGTGTCCCAGGGTCATGTGATTCCTCTTTGCAACCTTCTGACAAGCAAAGTCAATGGGGAAGCCAGATTCACTTAACAACCGTGTTACTAACTTAACAACTGCAATGGTTTACTTAACAAATATAGCAAGAAAAGTCATAAAATGGACAACTCACTTAACAATTTTCTCACTTAGTAACATAAATTTTGGGTTCAATTGTGGTTGTAAGTTGAGGACTACCTGTATGTTCATTTGTGGTATTTAACTTCATTGAAGAATATTATTTTAACAACAATTCTGAAGAAAAAATCAAATGCCAGGCCAGCTGCCTTCTATAGGTTAAAAATGAAAAGCCACAATTTTATGCTTTGCTTCAAGCAGCAAAATGTATTGAACCATCCTTAAATGTAGGCAAAGTATCTAGGGAGATTCTCAGTCATCCAAATTACGCTTGTCCCAAAGGTCCTTTTTTAAAAGGCAACTGGAGTTTGTTTTCCTTGTAGACATTTCACTTCTCATCCAAGAAGCTTCTGAAGTTCTGAACTGAAGAAGCTTCTTGGATGAGAAGCAAAACATCTTCAAGGAAAACAAAGAAACTCCAGTTGCCTTTGGGACAACCAAGGCAAAGGAACACTATTCTTATAGTGGAACAGCTAGTATGTAATCCTGTATTCAAAAGATAGCCATATATACTTTGGATCATCTTGAAAAGTTGTTGGAAGATGAACACTTTGTAGCTTGTTCTAACCTTACCCAAAAAAGAGAACAAAAACAATATTTCTGAGCTGAATTCACTTCATTTTTTCGAACAGTTGTTATAATGAAGAGTGCAGGAAATAGAACAACTTGCTTTGAGGCATAGAGATGCATTAAAGTAAGGAAATGCATAATTATTAAAACTGTGAACCTCAGGAAAATTAAAGTGATTAATCATAGGCACTTTAACAAACTAATGAAACATTACATAATATCTGCAAAATAATGACATAATTTCAAAGACCATAAACTCCTTAGTTAGTTCTTTAAGAGTTAATCTGGAGTCTTTTGTGATATATACTGGTAAAATATGCTCAAGCAGGAATCTGACACACCAATAATCCTTTATTATTGATAATTATATAAAATAATGATTTTAACAATGATTTTAAAGTATTGATTCTCAATTGAGACTTAAATACTTCCTATAAGAGCAACATAATAAATCATTGAAGAAAAAGAAAAGAATACAGAACAAGAAAAATCTACAATAATATCTTTATCATGCTTTTTTTCCATTACTGATTAGAAAAATGATAATCCAGATGCAGAACTTACACTTGGCTTGCTGAAGTTCTCCAATTCACTTTCTGATAACTCCAGCTAAAAAGACCTTCTATTTGAAACTCCTAAGTAGGCTACTGGAGTTAGTACGGAAGCAACATTGAAAGGCATTTCCAATGAGCCAGAAATATTGGTAACTGACCGTGCAGATATCTTCCAAAGACCTTAATAATAGATTTTATAATGAAAGGATGTTCTATCTATTTGTGCAACAGTTGATGTTTCATTCATTTCAATATATTTGACCTCCAGTCAAAGGAGTACTTATAAATATATAGTGTTAACCATCCATAGCCTCTTGATATTCCACAGATTAGTCAGAACATGGACAGATAGATGAAAATTTTAAGGGCCTTGAACCATACAAACTATCTAGTTTCTGGATCAAGCCATTTACCAAGTCCTTTGGTCCTGCCGATATTTTTTACCAGCCATCAGCTTTCACGGATAAATCACTCTCAGTGATTTATCCATGAAAAATAAAGTATATAATTTCAAATCATCAACTTCCTTGAAATATATTATCAAATCCATATTAGTTGGGATAGGTTCTTGGTCATCAGGTGGAATTTAATATCCTGTGCTGCTCCTTCTGTAGTATTAGGGCTCAACATATACTGATAGCATTTCTAAATGTCCCAGCTACCTAAAAGCAGCAGTATGCACTACAAATGTTAACATCTGATGGAGCATTTGATTGGTAAGATGAAATTCCTATTTTAGGAACTAAACCTCTTTGCCATCCAGTCCTAGCCTCCTGATACCTGGACTAGCTCAGGGAAGAGAGCTGCAGCAAATAAACTGCCCTGTCTTCTACCATACAAGATTACATAATATAAATCGAGGTTAGCATTTTCCTCCAGGATTAAATCTTAAATAATCCTAAATGATTGATGTATTATCATCAACTGACCTAACATTAAGAGGAAGACTGTTAGGTTCAAGGGTCAGCTCTCCTGCATCAGGAATTCCTTAGTTAAGTTGTAATGTGAAAGGGGCAGGAGGCTAGTTTTTTTTTTTTTTTTAAATACACCTTCAGTTCCTGTGTCTTAGGATTTTTCTGGCTTGTTTTATCTACATTGCAATTGCTTTCCAATTTTATTTTAGGTACATTGCTCTGGAAATTCTTACCAAAATAGAAGCAAACAATTTTTGCTCATTGGTAGACTACATTTCTGTGTCCAAAAATCCCAAGTGTCTTCTTTGAAAAGCTTTTTCATTATGGCTGATGATGGAAAGCAGCTCAGCTTGGACAGGGTTGCCAAAAAAAGTAACTAATAAAAAGCAAGAACAATCAGGATTGATTACACAGATGCAGGGGGCCTCAGGTTCATAAAAGCTGTGCTGAAAGTATGGCATGTATTTTTTTCATCTGAAAGAAGTAACATATTTTATTCAGAATATTGATAGCAATCATCCCTAGGAAACAAACATCTGCATTGTTGCAGCAGTTGGAACAATTGGGAGCTATGCAGCTAAGGTACGTGTCATCTTGCCTTGTGCAGTGGTTATGATGATTCATCACCAATCCCAGACTGGCAATGAACTCATGTAGCTCTTAGTAGGCTTGACATTTTTAATTAGACCATATGATAGGAATGTATAAAAATTAGTAAGTTAATTGATACTTTTTTCTGAAGGAATTTATCACTGTGTGTCTATGGGTGTAGGTGTGGGTGTGAGTGTTCATGAATATTGACTTCATTCTCAATTGAATTTCAATCCTTATATTTGGAATTAAATATCCTAAAGCACTGTTGTATTTTAAGAAAGATTATAGTACATTCTAAAACAGGTTTAGATACTTTGTTTAAGATATCTCTTTTGACAAGTAACATCCGCAAAAGAAACATCGTGTTTCCCCTACCACATTTTATACTTTGCCATTTAGCTTCATGAGAGGGAATTAAGCAAAAGTGGCATAAAGGCTGAATTGTAATGGAGCATTTCACTTAAGAAATTATATAAGTACTGAACAGATGCAAAGGACACCCCAAAACTGATTCAAAATTCTCCTTTAGCCAATTCCTGTTCTTTCACAGGGCATATCTAATATTCCATTCATCACAAAGCACTTGAACAAAATATTAACAAGATTAATATGATCTATTTTGTACAGATCATATCTACACTAACATTATGGGGCATGTTCTCCTAATATAAAAGATACCAAAGGAGAACACAGCAGTGAATGAGCTAGATTACTTTTTAAACAGGACAAGGGCAGGCAAAGAAGACTTGGTTACATAAAAACAATCACATATATGAAGCTATGAGAATGAAACCAATATATTTAAAAGCAGGGCTTTTTTTTGTCATAGAATGCACCGGAATGGAGTTCTGGCACCTTTTTTTGACAGATTTTCCAGAGTTGCGTTCTTTTCCTATTGTTGCCTTTCCTATCCTTGTTTGCTTTTGAAAATGCCCTGCTGGCAGTATGGTGTGAGCGGAATCCCCTCTGGTGCTGTCTGCCTCCATTAGGAGGAGCCACAAGGTGGTGGAGCACCACAGCCTGAGCATGGCTTGATTGACTGGGTCGGACCATGTGGTGTGGAAGCCGATGGTAGCATGGGAGACACATAAACATGGAGGCCATCTTTCAAAAGATGGTGAGTGAGCCTTTTGCCTTCCCTTACAGAAGGTGGGGTGTGAGGTTAAAAAGAGGAGAAGCGAGAGGAAAGAAAGGCGGCTGGCGTGGAAGCTCGCCCAACAGCAAAACTTTGCTGTTTCAGCTCCTTGGGTAGCTCAAGGGGATATCTACGAAAATCTCTTTTTAGTCTTTTATACTTTATTTTCAAACTGCAGAGGGGAAGAATAAGAATAAAGCCAATGTCTTGTGATTCGGAGGTATTATTATTATTAATATATATTAATTATGTATTGGTCAGATGTAAAGTAGACCTACAGTATGAGGTTTAATCAGATCTATTTATTAAATTGGGTTTACCTTAAAGGTAAATTAAAAGTAATCTGTTCACTGACAAAGTTTCAACTTTAATTTGTTTCAAGTTAATATCCATATTAAACTCCAAATGTAATTTTTTCCATCTTGTTTGACAACTTCTTAAAAATAATTCAATTTTTTACAAGCAACCAAATTTTGTTTTATTGGGCCAATTTCATTCCACAAAGAAAGCTGACATTTCCACTCATTAAATTAAATAGGTATGCCAGGGGTAAATTTCCCAAAAGATTAATAAAATGCCTTCTTGTAATTTAAAGCCATACAGTGCATGGTAACATTAATAGTATTAACTTATCTTGAACAAAATCCTAGTCTTTTAGATACACTAAAAATTGAAGGTTTTTTTTTTTTAACTACAAAGGCAAACCTTGTAGGGTAGGCAAGGTGGGTTGTTTGATGTGTGTGAGTTCTGGCACTTTTTTTAACAAAAAAAGCCCTGCTTAAAAGATAACAATTGTCTCAGCTGTGAAACTGGCAAAGCAAAAAAGAAAAACCATTTGGATTTCTGAAAAAATATTTATTGCTAGTAGGGTAATGTACACAATCTTGAAGACCTGCCAGAGCAATTCTCCAGCTCAGCTTATATCTGGTATAATTAAGGAGTTACACTGAGTCAATTTCTTACAGTTTCCTCCCTCATCTGAACTCATGAATCTCTTCTTTAAGAGACCTATTTCCTCTTTTAACAGTCTTGTTGTCCTTCCCAAGGACTGTTTGACATTCCATCATAATAAACATTACTATGTACTTGCATTTCTGAACAAGCATATCCACATTCTCATGATAAGAACTTTTTGTTTGCAACTGTCCTATAGAGAACAGTGTCAATTATATGATGTAACACTACATTCTGGGGCATTAGATTTATGCCATGAGTGCCAACAACATGCAAAATATAACTGTTTTAGACTTTTTGGACCAGAATATCAGAATGTAATAACTATAAATAATACAAAATATTACCATAAATATGCTTAGCAGAGAATTTGCTTCAGTAAGTCTTGGGTTGCTTAGCCCACTCAAATAAATTGAGATTGCAACTGATTTCATGAAACTGAAACATGAAAACAAAATTATTCTTAAAAGTTCTGATTCATGCTATCCAGGGCTTTGTGGAAGCACAAGTCAGGAAATGCTGATAGTGAAAGAAAAGAATATCCCCTTGCTCACTTGGCTTTAGGGAAAAACTATTTTTTATAATGATTTTGATTGTCATCTGTATTCTAATTGTCATCTATATTGCACATATATTTCCTAGCCTATATTTATAATTAAAACAAAAAAAGTGTCTATTTTGTTTGGGAGGAAAAGCCAAACATTTGAAGAAGGCCAAAATGTTATGTGATTACAGTATGTCAGCCCTAAAAATTCAAGCTCATGTTCAACTTATATTTCACTTCATCTTATCACCGATATGAATTTGTAAAGTAATTAATAGCTAACTCTCTATTTCTACAGAGTATGTTCAGCCTATTTTTATTTTATCTCCCCTTGATCGACAAGTACAGCCACAAAAGTGCTGGGTAGTCTATAGGAAAATGACTTGAGTTATCAAATTATAGTCAGATTAAAGATTCAGTTCAGAGTAATAGCTTAAAGGCCAAGATATGAGGTAATGCTGTTATTATTATTATTATTTTAAAAAAATGAGCAATGCAAGTATTGTAATCTTACAGTTTTTAACCAATTTCTTTAAATTTATCTGAAGAATAATTTTGACTTGGGCAATTTTCCTTTGCCCCCAAATTGATATAGATTCTAGCAGAAATGGGAGATACATCAGGGAAAGAAGAGAGGCCATGAAAATGAACAGAGAATTAGACTGGAAACAGCCATGGGTCACAGGCTAGCATTCACATATGGGATCTAAATTTTCTAATCATGGAAGCAAAATATGAAGGTAAATTTCTACAGAAAACTAAATAATTTAATGCTAATGTATCACAACTTAAGAAGGTTAGTAGAAAACAGCTTTGTAGAGGGGAGTGTATCAGGTATAATGAAATGAGTGTAGATTTGGGCAACCATACTATTCATGTGAGGAATCAATTCTAAGTAATCAATCCTTTCTAGGCAAGAGTTCAATCTGTATATTGATTTTCCCTCACAGACATATCACTTCCTGAATGTGAATTTAAACTTTGGTTCTCTATTTTTTTTTTACTTCAAAAGTAAAAGAGTAAGAAAAGAAACTGTGATGGTGTTTGATAACTGTGGTAGATAACTGTGATAATCAGAAACATTTTTCAAGATTAAAAAATGAAGAAAATGTTAGCAGTAGTTAGGATCTTTGATATCTTTTTAAACAAATACTTAAATGAGATATATTAATGGAAGAAAAAAATAATTTAACTAATTCAGGAAAGGTAGAGAAAGAAAAAAATCAGGAAAGGAAAAGTGAGAAAGAAAAAATAAGGTTCCATGCTGTTCTTGTAGTTGCTCTGGAGACCAAAGACAACCCAAAACAATATGGAGTTTAGAAGAAGAATTTTACTTAGAAATCACATAAAAAAAAAGAAACTCATTTTTGGACAGTCTCCAATGTTACTCATAACATGTATTTCACTTGTGGATGTCCATCTGTTGCCTGATGTTATGATACCATATGTCTGGAATAAAGACGAGAGAATAAATTATAACTTTGGGGTTCAGAAATCTGTCAAGCATATTATGCACACTTTGTGATGATTCCTCCTAAACATTTCTCCATCATGGCTGAGGATAAAATGTTGATTCAGGTTTTTAAAAGAAAAATAATTTCTTTTCTAAACAGAGTGCAAACTCTCACCATTTACTGCACTGAAATGAGCTTCCAAGTAATGATTTAAAAATTAATCAATTATGACCATAAACTGATAATCCAGGCATATATCTAGATTTTAAGTGGTTTTTTTCAACTGTGAGCTAGTTATCTTTATTCTATGAATATCAGAAAGCTAAAAGCAAAGAAAAATATTGTGTGTGCTGGTATATTATTTCAATATATAAATTTCTCAGAATGCAATTGCATAATATGTCATGGGTCTTTGCCAGAGTGTACAATGTTCTAAATAGCTCATAAGCTATATGCACTTATCATGAGAATTCCCACAAATTCTTGTAGGCAGCATCAACTGAAAAACTATGTGTAAGTACAAGTACAAACTATGTGTAATACAAAGCTAGTCCAAACTAACTTAAATTTTCTTCCTTCAAACAAATAATGCCAATTGGAAAATCCAGACTGTTCATTGCAGCAATATCACAGCACCTCCAGTTATCTATTCCTTCAGCTGCTAGTCACTAAAAGCTTACCTGTTGTTGCCATAGAATAGAATAGTAATGCTATTCCATCAGCAGAAATGAATGGATTCTGCTGGTGGGTAGACTGGGTGCTACTGAGGAATTCCTTAAATCTGTAGAATCCCAAACCTTCTTGTTCCCTAAACAAGGGGAAATTAGAAATTGATTTCCCTTCCCACCAACTTTACAGAAATGAACTTCAAAAGGGGAAAAGAGAACATGTATCCCCATTTTTTTGCAGTAGTTCTACAAAGGCAAAGTAGGGGAGAAAAACACTGAGTATTCTACAAAGATGCTTTTAGATTGTTTTATTCCTTATAGGGAAGAAGAAAAAAAATCAGCAGCCTGTAAAGAACAACCAATTGTTAAGCTCTGGCTAAATAGCTTTTAGTTCATTCAACCAATAGTGAATACTAATTTTCTGATTTCCTCAGTTTTTCTATATGTTAGCTGCTATTTTTCCACATATAAAAAAGTATATTTAAGCAATACCTCATTGAGGTATTAATGTTTTCTGATATGGATAACAAACTATATACATTCTCTCATCAATCAGAAGTATTCATTTGATTCAATTAAGGGCTTTATTATGTTATCTGCTCTAAAGCATTGAATAGTATTATTTATATTAGGGTTCAATAATTCTTCTATGTACTATGGACCAAAGATGAACACACAAAGATGAACACACACAGAGCAATATCAAACTCTCATAAAATCACAAAATTACAAAAGAGGTTTGAAATTTCACCATGTGATATTGTAGGTTTTCAACCAAGAGCAATGCCATTTCATAAGATATGTGGAATATAATTTTAAGATGTTTATTTGAATTTCCATCGATGCTACTTATGATTATAAAAAAGTTTTTAAAAAGCCCAGGATCCTGTGCTACCAATTCTACATTTTCCAAGCATTCAGGAAATTTTAAAATTGAGAATGCTGTTTCAATCTATATATTGTATTTGCCTTGGTTCCCTAAATTTATTTAAGTGAAAGGGAAAAAATATTTTCTAACAAGCATGTGAATACTGAAACCTTAATGTTTTGCCACTGACTACAAGTTAGTAAATTAGTAAAGCTGTAATTATTTAGTTAAAACATTCAGTTTTAATTATTTTGAAAAAATAAAAGAAAGTGCCCATATGTAGTAAAATATATCAACATTGTTTAAAAATAAGGAAGGGTTACAATCAAAATTATATTTTCATAGGAAACATTATAAATTTACATACCAAATTCCTATGCTTTGTAATTGAATAAAGGCCCTTGGTCTTAATAGATTCTATTACCTAGTAAATGTATTTAAGCTTACATTGATGATCAGATTTTTCTGGGCATATCAGTCCAGTGGTGTAGCCATCACTGATCTGCAAGCTCTAATGTTCTCACTGTGTACCTGCCTTGATGCTGAGGCACTGGCTAGAGGATTATTTAATTGGGTTGACTTCCCTGTTTAACTCTCTCCCCATCATTAGAGAACTAACTACAACAAACACTATAGGCTCTGTGAACCTCCCAGCATACTAGAACAATAAGAATGTAGCAAGAATCTAATAACTGTTACATAAATTCATTGGATTGTTCTCATAATTCCTCTGCCTGCACTTCATGTGTAATGTAACGTTATCCCCTAAATCCTCAGTATAAAACATTTTGGAAGGTAAATTCTGTTTATGTCAGATCAGACCTTATGTATTTTTATGCAAAATTTTATTTTTTATTATTGCAGCATTGATTGTGAACAAATGCCAATGAGTTCCAGAAACTCCATAGAGCAATATTTATTTATTGGCATGATACAGAGGTCTTTTCAATGGTATGTTCATTCTATCTGCATTAACAGCAGTGATAGTACTTTCAATCCCTCTCTCCCCCCCCCCAGGAAAATGTTTTGCCAAAAATTTATTACCATACCTCTCTGATAGCTGTACAAAACTCACTCTGCAGTACTTTTTTAAGCGACTGTAACTTGTGTCCTGGTAATTCTCCTGATTCTTGAAGTTTCTCTAGTAGTTCAATTGCTCTGGCAATATCTGAACAGATACAAATGAAGGAGAGTGGGAGAGGGAGAGGGAGAGGGAGAGGGAGAGGGAGAGGGAGAGGGAGAGAGAGAGAGAGAGAGAGAGAGAGAGAGAGAGAGAGAGAGAGAGAGAGAGAGAGAGAGAGAGAGAGAGATCGTTTCAGCTAAAATAGCATAGTGTAACATATAGTGAATTTTTATCATCCAGAATTAATTTAATTTTTTGATATTATGATACAGTTCAATTCTGCAATTTGGTTTTTCCTACAGTTGCTTACCTAGATAAGTAGTTAATTCTGTGTTGAAAACCTCCAAAATCCTAAGCTTCTCAAAATCTAATTCAAGGCCATCATAACTATAATCTTCACTTGCCCATAGGAAACAAAACCATGGAATTTATTCAGTGTGAAAAGAGAGTTATCATACTTGGATGGTGGGATATATTTCATTCAGTGTGGTGCATTACAGTCTTTCAAATATGTCAAGATTATTCTGAATTGTGATTTTTAAATATTTTTTAAATATTAGCTAATCACCTACACATTTAATAAGCATCCTTTTTGTTTCATCCTTGGTTAATTCAAAGATGCTAAAGAGCACTGGGATGAAGAGGGAATCCAGGGTTGTTACTTGATATTTCCTTCCCTTATGACCATTATTTGGACGCCTTTACTTGTAGCTAGTTCACATACACCTGTCTACAGTAGTTGTACTCTATATTTAGAATTTGTCAAATATTTTACTGGCATCAAAATACACTACATCTATAGTACACTATTCCTGTGATCTATTAATCCTGTCATTGTATAAAAATAAATAAGGGTAGACTGTCATGGCTTCTTACTGAGAATCCCATGTTAGTTCCTTGTGATGATGGCATTTTTTTTACTCTTTTCTGTTTTGAAGATGTAGTGCTTAAAAATTTGCTTTAGAAGCTTGTCCAGAATTAACTGGTCTGTAGTTCTGGATAATCCTGGTTTGCATTTTTGAATATTTGGGTAATATTTGTTTTCCACAATCACTGCAGTCATAACCCTAATCCCTCTATATTTTTGTGATACCTATCAAGTTCTATTTGTATTACTATGAAGGATTTTAGTTCTTCCTGTTTGCTACTATGTTCATTGCTATATAGATAATGGAGATGAGGGATGTTACCCTCTACTGGTCTCCCTGATGTCCTATCTTGAGGATTTCTAAGTAACATTTTCTGCCTTGTACCTCCACTATAATGTACAATCCTTATGTACCTGAATCAGTGTCTCTTTTTTTTCATCCCATTTAATTGAAAACCCTACTGTTAAGGTTTACAAGATCCTTCCCTACTTATGCAGGCAAGTTAAGAGGTCCAAATCTTTCTTGAATCTTCTTAGTCAATGTTTCTTTTCCAGGATTCTACTTTTGCTTCTCGTTTTTTGACTATCAAAGGAAAGATGAATGAAATGAATGAGAGATGAACTATTTGCCCTCCAAAACCTTCATCCTCCTATTCAGGACTTCATACTAGCTTATTATCCTATGAAGTATTGGATTGTTTGACCTCATATGCTAAGCAGGAATGAATAATAATCAGTTAGTTTTATGAGCCTTGAAATTATTTCCAACACATGCTAGATATATTCATATTTTCAGCAAGATCTGTGAACCACATGATCCTCCCATGCTAAATGCCTTACAAAATTGTTTGAACACTCTCAACTACCTGTCCTGTTTCTAAAGTGTGTTGGCTGAATCTGAGCTGTTAGGCGGGAAATACAGTTCCACCATTCTGCAGAAGCTGCCCCTTGCCCTTAATACCAGATGTATGGTTTGTGTTTGCAAATAAGCAACACACATATTCAGATATAAAACACTAAACTGAACAAGAAACCAAATACTGTACCACTCCCTAAAACTTAACAGATCAACTCCATCATTCAGCAGATTCCTTGCCAAAGAAAACAACAACAACCCTGTCCTTGTTTGATCCCCTGTTCATTCATTCTGGTTGTAAGCTCTCAGCTGTCTGTTTATTTCTAAAAGATATTGGGTAAATCTAATCAGTAATGATGTTGTGCAATATCATTCAAAATGTTCATCTGCTTCATTAAAGCAATGGAGGAAAATAACCATTGTTGGTCTCAAGCACTCCATGCTCCCTCTTTGGATTTGGTCTGAGAAGCCATAAAAGAAAAAAAAGATTTTTACAAATTCCACTGTCATACTCTCATGTATTCATGCCTATATGATTTACAATTAAATTCACTTCAGTTTATCATCTGTCTTTTGTACAAGTTATACATTTGATTAAAAATTAATGGACAACATGATAATAAGTATAGCAGCAGCAATATGGATCTGTGCTCTTTTTACGAAAAAGGAAATAAATTTAAAACAAGATACAACTAATATCTGTAATTTGCTGGCATTACTTTTCCAAGCAAGAATGTGGATGCATGAAATTTTCATTGTTTTCATTTATGTAACTTAAAACTGATAGACATATTTTAATGAACAATTGTATTTTTTTCAAAGCAACTATCATTATATTAATTTCTCTGCATTGTCTAATTTCCACTTAGCCACATTCTTTGCCTCATCTCCTTTCCCATTCACACTACATCTTAATAGCTATTTGAAGGTTCAGTTTTAGATTGCATTTATGAGGCCATAACCTCATCCTGTACATGGCTGCGCTTAATTGTAAATGAAAAGTAGTTATTTTTATAAGGCTTTCTTCATAGTATAGTTTATAGTATGCCTAGAATCTCCCAATAAATCAGTCAAATTAATGGTACCTATACATATATTTTAGGACATTAAGTTACACCATATTTGGAATGGTTCCAGAGTTAGTCATGCTTAGAGCAAACCCATTTAAATCAATGGGGCTGATAGTCATGGCTAAATTATCACTTATTTCACTGATTCTCAACTAACATAAATAATTTGGACTTGATATATTGATACTCAATGACTTTGGTAGCTGGATTATGGCTACTTACATGTTTGCTATTTTCCATACACAAAGCTCCTCTCTATTCTCAGTTAATATTTTTTATATTCTATCTTTCAGTTTTACCCACTGTATGTCAGATGATCTTATGTATTACAAATCCCTTAAACCCTGAAACATCCATAATTCAATCTTCTAGTTAATTGTATGCTGCACGTCCCCAGCTCTGCCACGTCTGTGCAGGCTAAATGATAAAGCTTCTCGGATTAAACTGTAAAGTGATTAACTCTTCCATTATTTTGGAAATATATTTTACATAATAAAGGAATAAGTTATTTTGTGCTGTTTTAAGAAGCTATGTGCTGACAAGAATTACAGAAAGAAGCTCATGTGCTTGAGATTCAATTTAACCAACCAGTGAAAAGTACTTTAGTTTGAAATAATTTAATTTTGGTGGTTATGTGGGTTTTTCTCAGGGGCGTGGTAACTGAGTTCTTTAGTCCAGATTTTTTAATATAGATCTTCTCTATATTTATGGTAAAGTCTTGCATCTTCTTCTAATAAATCTATGACCGCAAATGATCATTTAAAAAATGGAAGAGATGATGCAAGGCAAGAACATTATTTCCACAAATGAGATCTAAATAAAGGCTGATTGCTGTAAAATATTTTGTGGCAAAAAGAAAGAGATTCCATTTACCACATACCTCAGCATCCCATATATTAGTAACAATTCATGGGAACATAGCTTTTGCTAACTTTTAAGCAAAATCTAAGAACTTTCACTAAGTTAAATCATGGGCATTGTAAACTAACTACAGCCTAAAATTTATCATTTTGTATGGTTTCCAGTAATTCTTACACTCCCTTGGTTAATGTTTGTATAAAAAATCCTTCAATTGATTTACATAAATAGATGATAAAAGGGTGAAAACATTGACATATCTATAATATTGTAGGAAGTTATTGATAATCAACCAAGGAAAGTGAACTAGTTAAAAAGGAAAGAAAATCATTTGAAAGAGGCAATCATTTATCTATCACAGGGGTGTTAAGCTGCCGGCCCGTGGGCCAGATGCGTCACAAGGAAACCCTGCCCACCCCATTGCCGGCAATGGGGAAAAAGTTCCGATACGTCGCGCGACGTCACATGATGTCGCGAGTTTGACATGTCTGATCTATCAGTTGTCCCAGTATCTGTAATTCTGATTAGCCTGGTTCAGTGCTATAGGCTGTCAGTGCAACATTCACTGTTCTTATTTTTTCATAAGAAGTTGGAGGATATGGTGAAACCCATAGGCTCTTTCCGACTGGGCTTATGTTATTCTACTTAAACCTTATTTCCATTACCTATCTGGTTTGAGTCATACTCAACTCTTGGTAACCTCATGGATACATCCACATTGGGGGTGGGGCGGGATTGCAGTACATAAGATGGTTTTCTACTGTCTTCTTCTGGGATGCTTTTTTGACTTAGAAGTCTAGTATGGACCCCAGCATTCCCTGTTTGTCTCCTATCCAGGAACAAACAAGATACCATTTTGTTTAGCATTTCAGGCAAGACAAAATTGATCAGGTGCTACCACTACTGAAATATAGTTAACATAGGCCAAACACTGCTTGAGTGGGATTCTTCTGTGTATATCTATGAGTAGAAGGGACAGGAAGAGTGAAAGAGGACAAACAATGTAGAGCTAGGTTTCCTAGAAATTCTCTCTTTAACTGTGCAATCAAAATGCTACCTCTAAATAGGTTCTTCAAATTCTTTTCCTCTACCTGTTCCACTTTACTTGATATTATTTACTTTGAGGAGCAGCATTTTCTATTTTCTGTTTCTTTTATGTTAGATAGTTTCCTGTTAATTTTGTTTTTCAAACACAAGCATCACCGTAAGAGCACTGGAGGAATGGTTTGTACTGTACCGGATGTAAATTAGAACTTAACTTTTCCTTGGGAAGCCCATAAGAACTATATGGTAGAAACAGACATCCATAAATGTAAATGATTTACTGAGTACCAAGACTGTTGACAGCATTAACATTAATAACATTTACATGGAAAAGATTCAATTGAATTCATA